CTATCACCAAGACTAGTCTGATGCTTGGTCTTGGTGAGCAGGAGCGTGAGATTATGTCTGCGCTTGAGGGTAAGAAACCTACTTCATTGATAATATAAACCTAGCTAACCCTTTTCAGAACTCCGAAAGGCAGACGTGGATGTTGTCACATTCGGTCAATATATGCGACCAACCAAGCGTCACCTCAAGGTAGAGAAGTACGTGACCCCTGATGAGTTTGAGATGTGGCGCAAGCGTGCTCTGGATATGGGTTTCTTGTACTGCGCCAGTGGTCCTCTCGTGCGCTCCTCGTACAAGGCTGGTGAGGCCTTTATTGAGAACGTCCTGCGCAAGCGCTCTGGTGAGAAGGCCATGGCCAGTGGAAACCTTGGCCAGACCGTTGCTCTCGACTCAGCTCAAACATCGATCTAAACATAGATCACTATACACCTCTATTCACCTCAAACCATACTACACTACATAATCATGGGCTATGACCGTATCGGAAGGCGTTTTGGGATAGGGTCAGATATTCAACTAGAAAAGCATGGTCTTCAACAAGACTGCCGCGACATTATCGTCGCATGGCCAAATACAATCACTTACCCTTCAAAGGGCTGTACATCAATCATTTTCACGTTGTCATATTAAATACTTTTTGACAAAAATTCTCCTCAGTGTCTGCGTGATGATGTGACTGAACCACTGCATATATATGAGCTCAAGATTGGACACTGCATCGCGGGGTTTGTATATATGCATGCACTGTCCAGGGGAATTTGCAACGCACTCACTCACTGCTCAAGACTCATTTCACCTTTGAAAGTTACTTCAGAAGATCATGGGGGACTTTTGATTCGATACGCTGAAAAGATGGGATGGAAATATTGCGTTGTGCTATTAGTGACGCATCTGTCAGTCGCGAAGGGGAAGGTGCGATTGTGAGTTTTGACACCAAGAGGCAGGAGTATATAAGAGGCGGGATACTCCTTCCAACCCTTGGCTATAGCCCACGATAGCTTACCTTCGCTACTTCCAAACTTATTTTTGCAATTATTTCCAGTAAAAAGATAACCTACAACTCAGACTTGAACTTCTCATCAATCGAGCTCACTGCATCTTTGCTATGAGGCTCAAAGCGTTCTTACTTCTCGCTTTGGCGAGTCTCGTGAGAAGCAAATACTGGCTCGAAGAGATTGAACATCGTGGTACTGCTCCATACTACCCCGACTCTCAATATCGCGTGTTTCGCAACGTGAAGGATTTTGGTGCCGTTGGAGATGGATGTAAGTTGTCTGTCTGATATGGCTAATCACTTGGAAACTGATAAACAGTGACCGACGATACAAATGCAATTAATGCTGCTATTAGCGCGGGTACTCGATGTATTCCCGGTATCTGTAGAGGAAGCACTATATCACCAGCAATCATCTACATTCCTTCTGGGTGAGTCTCTGAGAAGTTGCTGCTAATGACACTTACTAAATAGACTAGGACATATCTCATCAGCGATTCAATTATTAATCTTTACTACACCCAAATCATTGGCGATCCTACCAACCGTCCAGTGATCAAAGCCTCTGGGTCATTTTCCAACAAGAGCTTTGGTTTGATTGACTCAAACCCCTATCTGTCCAGCGGGAGTTTATCATACAACTCAACCAATGTTTTCTACCGCCAGATTCGCAATTTAGCCCTGGACACAACTGCTCTTCCCCCCGAGTTCCCCGCTATCGGAATTCACTGGCCATCGTCGCAAGCAACATCCATTACAAACTGTGAATTCAGACTATCAACTGTCCCCGGAAACAGGCACACAGGTCTATTCATCGAGGAAGGATCTGGTGGTTTACTCAACGACCTGTACTTTCATGGCGGTGGAAATGCCACTGTCCTCGGGAACCAACAGTTTACGGCACGCAATCTATGGTTCGTCGGCGCTGATGTTGCGATATGGATGCCCTGGGACTGGGGATGGACTTTCAAGAGTGTGGTATTTAAAAACTGCCGAGTTGGCATAAAGATGGACCCTGCATCTTATAGTGTTGGTTCTATTACGATGCTTGACAGTTCTTTCGAAAATATCGACATCGCCATTTCCACGACTCGTAACCGGTCACAGGCCATAAGCGGCGCAGCGTCTTTGGCTTTTGAGAACGTTAAGTTTCAGAACGTGAAAAGCGTTCTGCTGGACCCAAAAGGCGTTGATTACGCACGTTCGGCTTTGGAACCAGGACAAAGCTCTATTTTTGTGATGGTATGCTCCTCTTGCAGAAATAGGAAAACTACTGATATGATTAGGGACGCTATGCTAACTCTAAGGGCAATCTTGATGCTGGTGCATTCTGCCCGGTCTCGCTACCTCGAAGTGGAAGTCTGCTCGACCGTGGTATCTACTACGAACGATCAAAACCACAATACGAAGACGTTCCAAGCAAATTCTTCATATCAGCAAAGGCGAATGGAGCGTATGGAGATGCTTCACACGATGATACTCAGGCACTCAACAACCTATTCAAGTACACCGCAGAAAACAATCTCATTGCATACCTTGACGCCGGATATTATGTGGTGACAGATACCGTCTATATCCCTCCTAATTCCAAGATAGTTGGCGAGGCCCTTGCATCCATTATCATGGGCACTGGGCAAACGTTTGGGGACATCAACAAACCTCGGCCAATTGTTCAAGTTGGCCGTCCAGGAGATGTTGGTCAGATCGAATGGTCTGACACAATCATCTCAACACGAGGAGCAGCAGCAGCAGGTGCTGTTCTCATTGAGTACAACCTATACAGCCCTGAAGCTCCATCAGGTATGTGGGATGTTCACACTCGGATAGGTGGTTTTGCAGGAACATATCTTCAAGTTCCTGAATGTCCTGCTATCAAGGGAGCCAATGTCGTAGACCCACGGTGTTTAGCAGCTTATATGAGCTTCCATGTAACGACATATGCTGGAGGACTCTTTACGGAAAACTGTTGGTTCTGGGTCGCAGATCATGATTTGGAGAATCAGAATTACGCGCGGGTTGCACTTTTTGCCGGCCGAGGTGTCCTTATCGAATTCCAGAGAGGTCGCATCTGGCTCAGCGCAACTGGTTCAGAACACCATGTGCTATACCAGTATCAATTCGCCAACACCAGAGACGTGTACATTGGCCATGCGCAGACGGAACAAGCGTACTTTCAACCCATACATTTGGCCCAGTACCCGTTCCCACCTGTGCCCGCTCTCCATGATCCGGATTTTGAGAAGGACTGCCAGGGAGACACTGATGCTAGATGCAATATGGGCTGGGCAATGAGAATCATTGACTCGATTAATATTGCTACCTATGGCGCAGGGCTATATTCTTTCTTCATTAACTACAACGACACGTGCGCCAGCAACAAATCACCACTCTTCTGCCAGGAGAAGATTTTGAGTATCCGCCGCAGCCCTGGTTTAAAGTTTTTGGGATTGAGTACAGTAGGAGCTCGAACCATGGTGGAGCGTGATGGTGCAAACTTGGTTCAAGCAGTTGACAACAACAGTACATTTGCAGACACTTTGGCTTTGTATGTATCATGAACGGTTGATATACTAACTCTAATGTAAGGAACGGGGGGGCATGCTCAAGTAGGGGTATCAATTGCTATACCAGTCACCTAATTAGAATCCCAAATACTTCGCAATGCAGTCAAAGCAATATAAACAGCCTCATCTGTTCTGATGTTTCGACTGCCCTGACCAGGCAGAACATTGACCCAGTGATCAAATAGCTCTTTCGTTTTGGGGCCCTGAATGTCCATGCTGCTAAGCTCGTCATCGTTCATAGCTGCGAACTCTATACCACGAGGGCCACCGAATACAATGAGAAGATGGTTAAAGTTAAGTCTCTTGGTAGGCGGGAATGCCCTTGAAGCAGGAACACCACGTTCAGATGTGCCAATACTAATGTCATAACCATTCTCGTAAGGGCTCTCAGTAAAGACCTTGGAGAGAGAGCTAGCCTTTCTGACGGTGTAACCCCAGTAGTAACCACCCTCGGTTCTTGGCGCAGCGGGGTGAACAGGCTCAGGGTATTCGTTCTCGTCTTCGGGAAACTTGAGTGTTATCCTCGTCTTGGGTGGGATTTCTGCCTCAATTTCGACAGGCTTTTCTAGGCCACATTCAACAAGGGTTCCTGATCCTGTGCTAGTCATGCCAGCGATAGTGTATCCCTCGCCGTAAGGGAGGTAATCCCTAGGGTTGGGGTGATGCGGCATGTCGAGAGTGGGCAGCGCGGCAGTGAGCCGCAGGTTAGGGTGAAGAGGGAAAAGAATCTTGCGCATGAAGGGGGGCGCCTCAAGGTAGGACAGAATATGCGAGAGGAAGTGGCATGGATCGGTGTCGCCTGTGTAGCTGTTTGGGTCTGTTTGACGAGGCCTGGTAGAAAGAGGTGAATCGTCAAATACGATGACTTCGTCGACAGAGAAGATGGCGAGAGCACGAGCAATGCGTGCAGGCTGTGCCATTCGCTGGTCGGCAGTAGTAAGGCTGGAGCTGGTTAGAAGTGATATGGACATTCTCGGCTCATTACATACTTTGCTAGGATACTGCTGGGAATTGCGACGGAAAGAGTCCAAGGTCGACCTCCATCAGTAGGATTAAAAGTCCCAGCAGGCTTGAAGGGTCCTCTCTCCTGGCCACCACCATTATGGTCGGTCTTGCGCTTCTGATTAATGTTAGAGACATTGTTTAGAAGAGACCATGTACTCAAAATGACTAACCTTGGAATCACGCTCGCTGTACGACATTTTGATTCTAATAAGCTCAAATAGCAATATTATTGTCAACAAGTGAACTATTCTGAACAAAAAGTTGAGATAGTGGAATTGATTGTCCGGCAGAATCTGACCGCTTTTCTCACCGCCTGCTATTTGCAGCTTGTACATGCCACTCCCGCGCTTGGTCAGCGTCACGGCCAACGAGACTTATGCGACAGATGTGGCCTTTCCTCTCAAGCAAACGATTTCAACGACAACGATATCGCAACCATGAGCGGCCCTATTAGCATCGGCTCCGAGTCTGAATGGAGCAGTCTCCTCGCAGGCACCAATGTTGTCATCGCAGATTGTGCGTATAAAAGACACCGCCGATACTTCATGACCACTAACACCGTTTAGTCTATGCCGACTGGTGCGGCCCTTGCAAGATGATCGCGCCCACATTCGACGCCCTCGCTAAAGAACACTCGAGTCCGAAAAAGGTGGCATTCGCCAAGATCAACGTCGATAGCCAGTCCGGAATTGCGCGAGCCCAGGGCGTTTCCGCCATGCCTACCTTCAAGATCTTCCAGAACGGCAGCTGTATTGAGACTATCAAGGGCGCAAACCCACCCGCGCTCACAGCGGCTATCAAGAACGCTGTTAAGCTTGGAGGTCCTGTCACTGGCGATGTGTTTAAGACGCCTGGTCGAACACTGGGTGGCGATGCGCGATCGGCTCCGTTGTCAAAGCAGTGGAACGTAAAGGGCATCTTTAATGCTTTAATAACCTTCTTCGGACTGTATTTTGTGTCATTATTTTCGGTATGAATACCATAAAGAAGCTTTTGGGATGAAGAGGTCGCTAACAAAATGACAGTTTGATGCCTACAAGTCAGCCGAGAAGAGTCCATTTAACATTCATCGAAAACCAGCATTTGGAAGCAGCAGTGGTTCTAGTCAGGGAGCTGGAGGTTCTAAAGCCCCTCCACGCTCTTCTTTTAAGACATTGGCGGATCTGGGTGGTGATTAAATAGCTTCTGCAGGGTATTTGTATGGCGTTTAATAAGGGTTCAGGGATTCGTTTGGGCGTGGCTATTCACTTTTCCTAGGCGAAACTATTCCATAGTTATGGAATTATCATTTCAATTTTTACTACCTATAATCTGATCCAATTCTCTGACCATATCCTTGGACGACGGAGCTGGGCTAATGGGTAGCAGAAAGATTGACCTTTGAGCTTTAGGCTACAGAAATAAATAGCCTAAAAAGTATAGTCCAAGTAATATAAACTGGCCTATTAATTTCGTCTCTTATGCTTCTAGTGGCCAACTTTTCTGGTACCGTCAAGTACAATTGCCACTTAAAATCACGTGAGAGCGCGTTTGAACAAAACCGACCTGATGAAGCTTGATAAATCTCCATCTCCACCTCAAATTTGTACAGTAGGGAAAATGTTGTCAGCCAGAGGAATTCGAAATGCATGCCCGAGGTGTAATACTTCTTCTTTAGCAGTGTCTTCTCGTATTTACTCTTCTTCCACTCCTTTACTCCGTTCAAGACGGATTTCTCCCTTCTTAAAGACCCAGTCCAATAGGAACGCAGCAATTACACAGACATTTTCAACTTCAAGATGCTTGCGACAAGATTCTCAATCAGAGACACAGCCTTCCACAGAGGAAATTGAACAAATTGTTAGGGATGCTAAGCAGAGATTTAGAGATACCCTTCCCAAAGGATATTTAAACGACGAAGAATATGCTGTCTACGAACGATTGTACGGAGCGCCATTGCGTGAGACAAGACCCGAAGATGTCGGTATTCCAGAGCATGCCGATATGGAACAGACTCCACGGCCAGATAACGAGGGGACTCTCTTGCGAGAGCTCGATGATGGCGAGTTTGAAGAAATTACCTACGAGATCCCACCCAGTGAGAATGTGGGGGAGGAGGGCGAGACAGTACCAGAAGCCGACCTGGCAGATCCCGGAATGGAACAATTAGCACACCAGGCCCCAGGTTATGTCGATTTGGTTGCTAGGAGCCAGAGAGAGTACGATGCGTTGCAAAAGCTTTCAGAGGACTACAAGATTACACAAAAGGAGCAGAAAGAGGCTGAAGATAAGGCCGCCGCTGAGGAGGAGCTCGCTATGGAGCAATTGGAGGAGGAACAACCATACTGGCCGGAGGAATACGAGCGAGGCGAGCGACCAACCGGCGAAGCTGGCCGTTTTCATCCATTGTCCATTGAGGGTCGCTTCTACGACAGCCCTGTCGAAATTTCTTTGCCAAAAGATGAGCTGATCATGCCCATTCGTGACCTTTTGCAGCGAACGCATATTGATCATGTCAAGAGCGCTGCTGAGAGTGCCTTTGGTGGCGCCGGCCTTCCTTTGTCCCCCGCGACACCCGAAGCCAAGAGGAATGGAAATATGCATGGCGTTGGTCTTCCAGCAGACCAGCGACACATGACTGAGATTGAGGGCGATGCTTTTCTTGCGGGATTCTTGCCACCGGCCTATGCCTCCGTCATGGCCACTCTCAGAGAAGTCCGCAAGCGAGTCGGAAGCGACTGGCTCCAGACCAAGCTCAAGAATGGCAGTGGCATTAGTGTCCTCGATGCAGGATCTGGTGGTGCGGGATTGGTCGCCTGGGACCAGATTGTTCGAGCAGAATGGGAATTGTTGAAGGAGAAGGGCGAAGTGAAGGGAAACAAGATACCAGGCAAACGTACAGTCATTATTGGCTCTGATCGTCTACGTCACCGCACCAAGACGTTCCTTGAGAACACAACTTTCCTTCCCAGACTTCCTGATTATGAACACTCGGGAGAAATGAAGGGCGAACGTCTGGATGCTGGAGACAAACCACAAGCCCGAAAGAGCTACGATGTTATTGTCGCCTCGCATCTTTTCCTCAAGGAAGAACAGGATCACTACCGACAAGCCGTCCTCAACAACCTTTGGAACCTGTTGAACAAGGATGGTGGTATCTTGATTGTTCTCGAGAAGGCTCACCCTCGCGGATTCGAGGCCGTGGCTCACGTTCGTGACACAGTCCTGAAGCAGTTCCTTCTTCCCCAGTCCGGAGAGCCCGAGCTTCTCCCCGAAGACTTCAACCCTGCTTATGATCGCGAAAAGGAACTCGGATATGTCGTCGCTCCTTGTACCAACCAGGGTCTATGCCCCATGTATCAGACACCCGGCAAGAGCGTTGGCCGTAAGGATTACTGTCATTTCAGCCAGCGATTCGTTCGTCCTATGTTCTACACTCAAATGCTTGGAAACAGCTCCAACAACCAGGGTGAGGTTGAGTTTAGTTACGTCGCTATCAGACGAGGTGTTTCCAAGGAGAAGTCTATGACCGGAAAGGAAGCGACAAACCAGGCCTTTGAGGGACACGAAAACTCAGATGAAAAGCCCGCCATGCAGAGTCTTCCACGAGTGATTATGCCTCCTCTGAAGCGAAAGGGGCATGTCACACTTGACCTGTGCACGCCAGAGGGTAGGCTTGAGCGATGGACGGTCCCTAAGAGTTTTAGCAAGCTAGCATACCACGATGCTCGTAAGTCACGATGGGGTGACCTTTGGGCTCTGGGTGCCAAGACACGAGTGCAGCGAACCGTCCGCGCTGGCAAGGGTCTTGATGACGGTGGCAAGCGTGCCGGACAGGGCAAGAAGCCCAGAAAGGTCGAGATTGTCATGGGTCCTGGTGGCATCAGTGCCAGCGAGAAGAATGCTCCTCGCGAGCGTCGTAGCAGGAACAAGCTGGACAAGAGGGGTCGTCTTCTCCAAGAGATTATGGAGGCGGAGGAAGAGGAGGAGAGAATGATCTCCAAGCAAATGGACGAGGAAGTCGAAGCCGAGCTGGAGGATGAAGCTGAGGTTGAGAGAAGACGCCGACGTTGAGGATCGGATGTATTATTGATGTAAAATTAGATATTGTACAAAGGATGATAACGGGCCGGACATGATATGACATGAGGCGTTAGACATGACGATATATCTCAACACTGAACAATGAATGACTTTCAACGCAATTGGATCTCGAACGAAGGATGTGAGCCATGCTTATGAAGAGACCATATCTTAAGCTGTGTTTACATCGTCATGATACAGCATCTTTAGCTTCTTGAACCCTATCAAGGGCTACCCGTTCCAACAATAAGAGCCACGCCCGGTTAGCTCAATCGGTAGAGCGTGAGACTCTTACGAGTACGCGATCTCAAGGTTGCGGGTTCGACCCCCGCATCGGGCTGTTCCTATAAAGTACGATTGCAAACAAGCGAGGCACTTCTTTTTTTTCTCTCTTCCATTTTTGGGGGATTGGTTTGTTGGAAAGAGTGAGGGAAGTTGTGGTGAAGTATCGCTGACCTGGGTAGACATGGGCTTGTTCTTTTGCTGGGTTCATAGATGTGTGAGATCTATGCTCAGTGATAGGCAATGGAGATATATTCTAGTCTAGTCAGTTACAATTACTCATAGTCCAAGAATCAATTGGTGTTCTAGGATAATATTGTATGTTATAGTGGTTCGAGTTTTGAATCTATATGTCCATCATGATAACCCCATCATGACTACTGTTGACAAGGGTAGGATGGCACGGATGATATGGACCACCACGTGTTTAAAATCAGATGGTTTTCTGGAAATTCGCATTTCCGATCAAAGAACCATAACCGCGGAATTCCATGGCACAAATTATCTCATCTACCAGAAATAACGTGCTTTATCGCAATTTTGACATCTCCGCTTGCGGCCCGCGGAAGTCGGCGATTGCGTTATCTCAAGTCACTTAAGTGCCCGCCGACAGGCCGATTAAGGAAGATGGCGTGAGTTTGAGCCAATCAAGTAACCTCTATTTGGAGTATGGAGGGGGAGGGGCAATGGGGTAACTTTTTTTTCCATGAGGGAAAGAGAGAACAAGGATTAGTTTGGATGCGGGAAAGAAAGGGTCTCTCTGCTAGTTCAGTTTGACATGCGACCTCGTTTATAAGCCGGCCGAATCTCGCAATGGCGACATTGTGCTCGTCTTTTTGGTTGAGTTAAATACTGTTCTTGTCTTTTAATTCTGTATAAGCAGATTCGAAATCAATTAAAATGGATTCTACAATACCAGCCTCACTTCTTACAGCGCTCAACTGCAGAGGCAACATTCACCTCGTTATCGGTACAAACCCACTCGCTGCGACTCGATGTGGTCAGTCTCTAGGTTCTGGCGCCCAGCCAATTCTTATCGCCCCCGAAGGCGCTGAGCTTCATTATGCTCTCCAAAAGAAAATAGACGATGGAAGTGTTAAATGGCACAAAAAGGAATTCCAAGATACCGATTTACTACGACTTGGTCGTGAGGAAGTCGATGGTGTGGTGGACGCTGTCTTTATCACTTCTGCGCCACGAGATGCTCAGAGTAAGTTATTGAATAAAACTCATGTCAATGTATTTAATTAACAAACTCAACAGCCATTCATATCTCTGCTCTCTGCAAACGAAACCGTATCCCCGTAAATGTCGTCGACGCCCCTCAACTATGTACATTCTCCCTTCTCTCGACACACAGCGACGGCCCTCTCCAGATTGGTGTCACCACGAATGGTCGGGGCTGTAAACTGGCGTCGAGAATTCGTCGCGATATTGCTGCTTCACTCCCTACCAACCTCGGAGCTGCCTGCACACGACTCGGCGACGTTCGCCGTCGCATCCACACTGAAGACGCCCTGGCGGCTGAAGACGACCCCGCCTCCCCCGACGACTCTTTCGACCAGGATGCGCACTTCAACCGCCTTATTACAGAAGAAGATGCCAAGAACCGACGAGTGCGCTGGCTCAGCCAAGTCTGTGAATACTGGCCTCTTAAGCGTCTGGCTGCTATCACAGACGATGATGTAGAGACGGTTCTCAAGTCTTATCCCGGTAACGGACCCGATATCAAGCGTGATCCTGGCACTCCCGAAAAACGTGTTGGTACAATTATCCTGGCTGGTAGCGGACCTGGACACCCTGATCTCCTTACACAAGCTACTCACAAGGCCATCAAGTCAGCTGATCTTATTCTTGCTGATAAGCTTGTGCCTTCTGGTGTCTTGGATCTCATTCCCCGCCGTACTCCTGTCCAGATTGCTCGCAAGTTCCCCGGAAATGCCGATCGCGCTCAAGAAGAGCTTCTAGAAATGGCTCTTGCTGGAGTCCAAGAGGGCAAGACTGTGTTGCGCCTCAAACAGGGAGACCCCTATGTGTATGGCCGTGGTGGTGAAGAGGTTGCCTATTTCCGTCAGCACGGTTACGGAGATAGAGTGTCCGTTCTTCCCGGTGTCACCAGTGCTCTGAGTGCACCCCTTTTCGCTGCTATCCCTCCTACCCAGCGTGATGTTGCGGATCAAATCCTCATCTGCACTGGTACAGGAAAGAAGGGCAAGGCGCCTTCACCACCCGAGTATGTGCCTAGTCGAACAGTGGTTTTCCTTATGGCTCTGCACCGTATCAACGGGTTGATCCGTGAGCTCACCACCCACGTTGAACTCGAACCTTTGGATCCGGTCAACGAAGAGGCTGCTTCAGCACAGCCTCCTCCTCCCCCGGAGCCCACCCAAGTTTCTCCCACTACAGGCGAGAGCAAGAGAGTTCTGTGGCCGCGCAACACACCTTGTGCTGTCATTGAGCGTGCCAGTTGCCCTGATCAGCGAGTTATTCGTACGACTCTGGAGCACGTCGCCGAGGCCATCGAGACAGAGGGCAGCCGTCCACCCGGACTCTTGGTGGTAGGCCGATCCTGCGAAACCCTCTTTACCCCTGAGAAGGGACGAGCTTGGGTGACCGAGGAAGGCTTCAGGGGAATGGAAGTAGAGGACTTTACAGCTGGCCTAGAAGCATTGCAAGTATGATTTTATGGTATTCGATACGAGCATTTACATGGGAGTTTGGGTTTAGGTAGACATAGCGATAATGCATGGCTGGAGTTGGATATATTTTGCAACAATTTATTTTACCATTTAAATTGAGAATATGAACAAAATCTTTTTGATGTGCCATCTTTTCTGACCACGCCTTTGTGCCGTTTTTCTTTACTTCTGCAGCCTTGACCAAGAAAAACCAGATTTTTACACGTGTTGACCACAAATCGAATCTCTGTTCAAGTTCAAACGAAACGGAGGCACCGAGTGTTCAGAAAAACAGAAGTAGTGTCTGGACGACAAATAGTCAAAAATGCAAAAAGGTAGCTGATAGGCAATGAGAGACATGCTCCCGCCAGGGCTTGAACCTGAGACCTTCGCATCACTGAATATTCAGATTGAAGTATTAGTACGACGCTCTAACCAACTGAGCTACGGAAGCCAATCAGCTGTTCATAAAGTCATTTCTCCCAAATTGATCTCAAGATCCCTTGACGATGATATTCCAAAATCAACAGTAGAAAGTCTCCTGAAGCATCCTGTCTAGGTTATCATAGAAAATCCTTGATGGCCCCCCCCTCTTTTTCGCCGTCAAAATCACCTTGTGGGTATCTACTATTAATCTTTGTCTACAAAAGCCTGGGAGTTCTTGTTTCGGTAGCAGGAGAGAGTTTAGGGAAGGTAGGAGATATAGTCCTTTTGTTCTTCAGTGAGCGGCGGGCGCTGCGGTTTCTCTTTGTGCGTCAAGGGTAATCTTTATAGATGTAGTACACGGGCGGAACAATCGAGATCTCATTGATTAGCTTAACAAGTCGTTCTTCTGCTTACTTTGTTCGATGATATTGTGAATGAAGTGCGTGGGTAGAAGAAGGGTTGGCTCCATCCGATTGCAACCGTGGTGAAGTAAAGGTAAACAATAGCGTGATACTTGAGCTGTTTCCAAAACACCGCTACCAACTGACCCTAGATTCATTCCCATATTCGTCTGCGCTTTGCGCCTGCCTGTGCATAATTTCCATTCGCTTGACCTGTGGTTCCAACGTTCCCCTGGCCTGGCTGCCCGATCATGACAAGCGTGTTGTATTTCTCCTCGCCTAGTAAAGACTTCATGTAGTCGCGCCTTAACCCGCGGATAATATGTGAAATCTATTGGGCTTTTTGTTGCCAATCGCGCAATGACTTGTCATAGCGTGTTCCTAGTTTGGTCACCACCAATGTATGTGGCAATCTGTCTTTGATCGTTTGCAGCGAGTAGACTGAATCCGTCAAGTGACGCTCAACATGTTGTCGCAAAACCTTAGTGGCCGGGAAATGCCATATCTGCTGTTGCGGGTTCTCGAGAAAAGCATTTAGCGATTGACTCGGGCTGCAATTAGGCCAAGATGTGCAGAACGCCTTTTCATGAACCCATCCCATAAGTTGGACGGGCAGGGTCATGATCGGCTGATGGACAGCATCTTGTAACGCAACCTCGAAGAATTGATGAATAGCAGGTACTGGGGGGTACATTGCTTGTCTCCAATACTATGACAAGGGGTTCATGAAAATTGTTCATTAGGTGATGAACACTTAGTGATGACCAGGTTGCCTTTCCTCAACAAGCCTCTGGCAGCTTTGCTGCAACAACCCCAGTGCTTCCTGTCCAGCGCCATGGATGTAACTTTCCTTTATCATTCTGAGAAACTTCTTGTAAGTAGTCTGGTGGTAGAGGTCGTCATTATGAATGTTAATTGCGGGCTTGATGATAAAGTTGGTGTTGTGAAAGCCCATATGTCCTCTTTCTTGTTCCAAGATGTCATTGCCGCAGAGACTCAGCTGTCCTTTTCCATGTTCGATGATGCATTTGTAGAGCTCTCTGGAATTTTTGAAAGGTCCAAAACGCCCTGCAGTGATACTACGCAAGAAGGCTTAGATGAGAGATCGGTGGAAACGTGGCACGACTGTCGGAAGAAAGCTGATGAGTTGAGTCAGTTATTTGTGTGTCTCATATCACCACTTGAGGGTATCTGGAGCTATTTTACCTCTGCAACACCCACTCGCTATCCGCATTGCGTGTTTCAAGAACACGGAGAAAGTAATTCTCATCCGATAAATTCCATATGGTTTGAGATGCCAGCTTTTTGTCGCCAATGGGAACTGCCCATGTTTTGCAACTCTCAGCCAGGGGCTCATGTTTTGTAAAAGACTTGAGGATAGCACAAAAGGCATCAAATTCCGTGGCTATGTCAATAGCCTGGTCAAAATCTTTGAACCTAGATACCAACATCAGCATAATAGATCTCGAGGCTATCCGCATTGAGCTTGACCTACTAGTAGTCCCAATCAATGGTGTGTTCCTGGCCATCATAGAGTGCTCTGAGATGACTTATAAGTTCGTCGCTGACAGCTTCTGCATACACATAATGAGGGGATCTATCACCAGTTGGCGCTCAGGGGCCTAGTGGCGCGTATGTAGCTTGAACGCAAGGACGTAAAATTGCCATGCTGTCAAGTTCTAATGCCCACTCTAATATGAGTCTGACAATTTGTTCTTGGGGTCCAGTGCTGTAACGCAGGACGTTGTCCACAAAACCTGCGGCCGCCTGCTTCGTATAGGCATCGTCTCGATTGTTGGCAAGATCTTGGAGAACCATCTCGGTCAAGTGGTCATTTTGGGCTCTTTGAGCTGGAATAGTGAACCCAATAAACTGTTCGAGATACTTCCGAAGCCGGTCCTTTAGTACAAGAACAACGACGGTTTTGTGATAACGGAACGTAGGCGCCATGTTTTTGTTGCCAGTATATTCGCTCTCATCTTCGCTGTCAGGGTCCTCTCTATTGATGTTATATCCCAGGATTTCGTTGTTCTCAATAGTGAGGTATGAGGCAACCTGGACCCCCAAAGAAGTATATACAGATGTTAGATTCGCGTACTCTTCCTCTTCCCCATCGTAGTCACCATAACCATCCCCTCCCGTGCGGACATGGGTCGCATGTGCCAGCATGAAATAGAATCCAGCCTCAGAACATATCTTGTTTAAAGAGTAAGTGACACCCCGATCACGACTCTTCATATTTGCCAAAGATATGCTCGTTTTTGTGTAAAGATGACCAAGGGGATATGATTCTGTCGGGCAGACAGCGCCGGGATTTCCACTTGTCTAACAAAGACCTTAGATGTTCAGTTTTGTCTCGGGCAGTAGAAGCCAAAATGAAGCCATTCCCGCGAATGAACAGTTTGTATGTAAGGACAAGTCGGTAACCAGATGTCGGTTTTATGACCTCATGCGTCACATCTGAGAACCAAGACATTGAGGTAAGGTCAAATTTGGAAGCGGGAGCAGTAGAAAAGCGTTTGGCTTGAGAGTTAAACGATAGGTGCGCATCACCATCCTCATGCTGGGAAGGAAGACAAACGACGAGTGTTCCGACCATGCCCTGTTCCTTTTCGGAATCCTTATGCTACTTGAAGAATGAACCAGGCTCATAGAGCAGCAGTTTGTATGGCTTAGCAAAGACTTCATACAAGTCAAGCCTGACGGCAGTATCCTGGACCATCTTATCAAAAAACTTGGACCATTCAGGGTTTACTAGCTCGAATTTCGACGCATCGAGCCCCCACGTGTTGCGTACCGAAGTGTCCACGAGAGTCTTGTCGCCATGGCCGAAAGGTGCCTGTCGGCACACACACTCTTGATGGTCTGCGCATCATCTTCTTTGAGTGGCAGAGGAATGAGATTACCACCCTCAATAGTGAGACCGGGATTCACAAACATGCTATAGTGGCAAGAGGTTGTGATATCACCTGTCGATTCAATTGAGTCGAGTGCCTTGCACAACGCGCGTTTATTATCTTTCGTGACAACAGATGATGAACTGGGATCTCCATTTCCATCCTCTTCCTCTTCTTCTTCTTCTTCTTCTTCTTCTTCTTCTTCTTCACTGATCTCTACCACTGCTGGTGGATAAGACATTGTGTTATGTTGGCTTCTGTGTAAACAATTCCTGGTTGATGGTCCGATGCTTCAAAAGAGTAAGTCGCGTTGGAGCAGGCAGTCGCAGTCTCATCCTTTTTTTGAGTCGAGGCGTGACGCGTCGGTAATCCTTACACAGTATAAAAAGCAACGAGCGGCCACTGATGCACCCACCTAGAGGTATTGAGCAGAATGTTGTAAAAGTGTTGGGCCATCTTGACGTCGAATAAAAAATATTATTGCAAGGCTGGTGGAAGGGAGCGCATAATAGTTTAGGTACACATGCTCATGTCTTGTCTTGACTTGACTTGTATTGTTCATTCCAATTCGATGAGATAGTCGACCAACCATCCGCTTTGTAAAAGGAAGGAGCCAGTGACTTTCTAAATGCCTACCTACTAAGGTAAGAGGCATCTTTATTCTTAATCATGTATTTTCGTTTAATTGCCCATCAAGGTAGTTCTCTTCATGTCGTAATCCTTTACAGGCTTAATCAGTCAAGTAGGGTTGTTAAAGACACAACTTCATTCCTAGACTTGTACTGTCTTTTTGCTTCTCACCCCTATTTCCTCTCAAATCTCTAGTTTGTAAAAGCACGACAGAGGGTGTGAGTCCTTGATCTGAGCAAGTATTTGAGATTTCATCCCGGGTAGCTGACTCATCAGCCCCTCCTCGCTTTGCTCGGTAGTTTAAGCAGTTGTTTTGCTGTAAGCTAGACCTTCGCCATGTTGATACACTTGCACTTCTCAGACCAAAAGATAAGCGCCCTATCGCAACGAGCCACAGAGGCTGTAGATGGGCTTGACCTCCCTTGGAGGTTCGCGCCAAGGGGAGACTATGATCCTGATTATAATCCAACTGGATTGGTTTCGTTCGGTACAGCTGAAAATGTAACATCTTCCCTCTAACAGCCCGTTCAACATCGTGGGAACGCTAACCTTTACTAGGCCTTGGTGACGGATCAACTCAAGGAGTTCACAGACAAGAGTGTACGGGTTCAAACATTCCCCTCGAAACTTGAGAGATATATTTTAACTTGCACATTCAGATCACCATTTCAAACGAGGACTTCTTATACCGTGGTAGTCATGCAGGTGGTTCTCGCCTCCCCAAAGCTCTAGCTGCCCACCTCAACGAGTACTTAACTCCTAGCAGCCCCATCACCCCAGATATGGTCCGGTGTGTCGGTGCCGCTACTGCAATGCATGACATCCTTGCATGGGGAGTTGCGGACCCTGGTGACGGTGTGTTGACCAGTAGACCCGTGTATGGCCGCTTCGAACTTGATTTCGGTAACAAATCTCAAGCAAGAGTTGTATACTCCAACAATAAGACCGAGGAGGCATTCCAGGATGATATCGTCGACCATTTCGAGGAGGCCTTGGTGAGGTCCAGAAAGGCCGGCATACATGTCAAGATGGTGCTAATTGTCAACCCTCATAACCCACTTGGTGAGAAATGCCTACCCTGCCTCTGATGATATGATGTTTAACGATGACCAGGACGGTGTTATCCCAAGTCCACCCTGATCAACATCATGCAGTTCTGTCAAAAGCATAGACTGCATCTCCTGAGTGATGAGATCTACGCCTGTTCGGTTTTCAATAGTGATGAGCCTGCAACTCCCTTTACCTCTATTCTGTCAATAGATTCCACAAGCCTCATTGACCCGAGCCTTCTCCACGTCACCTACGGACTCAGTAAGGATTTTGGCGCCGCTGGCCTTCGTCTTGGTGCCATTATCACTCGAAGCCAACCGGTCCTCCGAGCGATTGAGGCAGCCATGCGGTTTCACAACCCCTCCGGCGCGAGTCTGGCCATCGGAAGCGCCATGCTTGAGGACAGAGTGTGGTGCCGATCTTTTATTGATTCCTCAAGATCAAAGCTCTTACAAGCCCATCGACATGTCACATCGCAGCTCAAGGCTATGGACATCAACTACCTGCCTGGAAGTAATGCAGGCTTCTTCGTCTGGGTTGACCTATCTCCATACCTGCCATCTGAACTAGATGGTGAGCTGAATCAGGAATTTGCTCTCGCTAAAAGGCTACGCGAGGCTGGCGTTTTCCTGCATCCTCGAGAAGAGCACTCGCTTGAACCAGGATGGTATCGGTTAGTATACACGCAAGACCCGAGAACCGTGACTGAAGGGCTACAGAGGTATGTTCCTTCTTTCATTTGCGGTTGAAACGCTAATAGTTTCCAGGATCAAAATGGCAATATCGTAGGCTGGACAGTGGGGAAAAGTGTCAACCGTACTCACATCTAGCAAAGTCAAGAAGAGGGTGGGATTTACGGATAGGGGGTCAAAGCAGTCAGCCGTCACACGTATAGTTATACGCGATTGCAACATTTGCATCAAGCTGGAAATCAATCTTCAGTTCAGATGATGATACACTGATAGCTTATTTTTGATGCGCTTTTGTATCCCTGCCGCCTACTGGCTAACGGCGTCCTCGAACTTCTTACCGGTCAACATAAGGAAAGCCTCTCGGTAGCGGTCTGATGTAGCCTGGGCAATATCCTGGGGAAGCTCGACACCCTCCTTGCCCTTGAGTCCTTCCTTGGTGAGCCAGTTTCGGATGAACTGCTTGTCGAAGCTGTCCTGGTCACGGCCAGGCATGTAGCCGGCTGCTGGCCAGAATCGAGAAGAGTCAGGTGTTAGTACTTCATCGACGAGGTAGATGTTGCCCTCTTGATCCTTGGCAAACTCAAACTTGGTGTCAGCCAGAAGGATGCCGTGCTCTTCAGCGTACTTGGAGGCCTCGTCGTAGATCTTCAAGGACAACTCCTTGACGCGGTCCGCAGTCTCGCGGTCGCCGACCTCCTTCCAAGCGTCGTCGGGGTGGATGTTCTCGTCATGCTCTCCAGCATCGGCCTTGGTGCTAGGTGTCCACAGGGGCTGCTTGAACTTTTGAGCCTCCTCCATACCAGGTTCGACGGTGATACCATGAACAGTACCGTTCTTCTTGTACTCCTTGTAAGCGGAGCCAGTCAGATAGCCTCGCCTGTCAGTATGTTAGTGTCTTGATACCCATACAGAGCACTAGCATTGTGCGCCATTTCGTGTCCAAGGAATGGGGTTGAAAGGGGCTTCTAATGCTGGAGGGAGACCGTACACGATGGATTCAATCTTGATGACAGAAAGCTTCTTGACGACCATGGATCTGTTCTTGATGATCTGAGCCTCCTCAGCACTAACACCCTCAGGGACATCGAGGCTAATGAAATGGGTGCGCAGGTCAGGAATGCGCTCCGTCAAGACCTGGAACCAGTGTGCCGAAAGGAGGGTCAAGATCTTTCCTTTGTCGGGAATTGCGTTCTTGAGAACAGCATCGTAGGCTGAGACTCGATCAGAGGCCACGAAGAGAAGCGTGTTCTTGTCAGGAAGCTCGAAAAGATCGCGCACTTTGCCGGAGGCAATCTTTTGAAAGCTTGGCAGGGAGATTTCCGTTAGACCCGACATGGTAGCGGTATGTGATAAATTCTAGTCAATCAACTTTAGTAGATATTTGTATCGGAAATAAAGTCGGATTGATTATCGCCAAAAAGGAGTCAATCACACAGCGTGAGAGGGAGAGAAAGAATGAAAGTGACGGAACGAGCGAGTGAGGAGAAAAATTTAGCCGATCACTCGATGCAGCGTGCAAAAGTTTCTCCACTGAGTCACAAATTCCATCGCGGTTTCGGCGTAAGAGGTGGATGACCAAAGTTTGAAATGAGAAATCATGTCTTTTACTTTTGACGTCTTCTCCAAGTAAACATGGGATCACACGAGCTCGTCTTGCATGATGACAGGGGCTTTGAAATGAGTCGTGTACAGTGCTTTACAGTTTAAGAGACACTAATTGCACGGTCCTTTGAGCCTCCACTGCCACAGCCTTAAATATTGTATATATGCGCATGTCAATGTCCTCTATAAAGCCTTTCTTTACTACCAAAGACTATCAAGATAGCTTGTTACCTTTTTCATTAGAACCATGTCGCCCAGGAGTCAGACAATCACAAACATGGTGTCTGGGTGCTTAGAAACCTACCATTCATCAAACACTACTACAGTAGACATATATGCACATTAAACTAACATCATATCGGAGTATAAGATCAAGAGCGCCGAATAAATAATCAGAAAATATAACAGCTATAACATGGGCTTACTTCTTCACCACGATTCATTCATGGTATTAGAACGGCCAGGAAGTGGCACTAAACAACGGTCCAGACCAATCTATCTATAACTCTCGCGGTGGTATTACACAGTAGTATTAATGACATCCCTGCTCTTACCGAACTATGGGGATTTAAGAACGTTACCCGTTTCTAAAGTCCCATCAACGCATCTTGCCATTAACAGTGAATTGGTATGGATACCCGTGTCTATAGATCGACGCGGATAGATGACCACGATGCTCATATATGAGAAACGATGGTTCCCCCAGTCTATTACCATAGTCTGCAGGAGGTAGATCGGGACTTTGTCGGCAGCTGGGCACGGGCATCCATTCTGCGTGCATGTATGTATATACCTGAAGTCTGTATAGGTGGTTCTTGAGCCAACTAACCTAGTAGATAGCTACTAGTACATGTACACTTTAGAGGATTGTGCTGGTAGCCTTGGTTGTTCTACATGATTTAAAAAATGACTGGCCAGCGAATTGTTACCAGCCAGACAATGAGCCGACAACGCAAACACTTGAGCTTCAAACAGCGGACGGTATAAATCAAATGAAAATCATGGGGATTCCTAATTCAGTTTAATTGGAGGGGCAAAAAAAAAATGCTGGAGTTGTTAATATGTAATGCTATTCCCCCTGCTTGGCCCACGTAAGAATTACATCAGTTCTTTGTCAGGACGCACTGACGTTACGTTGCGCTCTTATCGAAACCGCTCTTGTCGGTACTCGTAGTCTACATAGTACTGCAGGCGTTTAAATAACCTTTTTGGGTTTAACTTATTCAATGTAAGACTATTTGTTAAATTATATACCTAGTGTCTATATTTGGTGATATATGTCATAGTCATTCCACCTGTACATTCTCTTACTATATTGATATCACGTGATATATAAGGTAGGCACGAATACGTGCTCGAACTGTGTTTCCTGCCTCTAGACCTACCGTCCTTAATAGCCTTTATGAACAACTGGCCTCTAATCACCTTTCAACGCTAATAGGATTTCAATGGCAGTACATCCGTTGTGACGTTCAAGATCCAGCAGCTCAATTATTTCCACCTATCATAGCTCTCGGGTCTCTTCCTGAGTATATGATATGCGGAAACCTTTTGCCGAATTCCTTAGGATAATCCTTGTGGTCATTATCAGGCCTGGACCTGGTGTTTTTCTGGGGTTAATATAGGCATTGAAAGTGAGATGAGATGCTGGCGACTACTCAATCGTATATTGTCGAATCACATGTCCATGACCGTGTCTTCTAGTCCAAAGATCGAGTCCTCACTGTGGATCGTCGTCAAGGTCGCACTGATGCACATCAAGCATCTTGGCATCAAAGAAATGGGCACGACGATCGGGAATTTTAAACCCGCGTCTATTCACGCCGATACGGTAATGCGACATTGAGCGGCCCAGAAAAAAAAACTTGTCGTCAGTGTAACCTCAGCCCAGTAGCCTACCTACCTACACATGAATAGAAGACACCTTCATTTCCCTGGCCTAGCTAGCTGGACCTTAAAATTGATGCGATTACTCATCACCACGATTGGTATGCTGTATTCAGACTTCGCTCCAACCCTCCCTGGCATGCTAGTTATTCATCATGCTGTAGTGGAGTGGTTCGAAAACAGTGATGTAGTGGGAGCCTGCTAGCCTTTGGCTATGAAATACACGTCTTATTTCCAAGGAAGTCATCCGCTTGGATGTATGGATTTGCGCCCCTTGCATGGGAGTTGCAAACCTCCCGAGCCCGGTAGTTGTTCTCAACATCCCTGACAAGTATGTAGAGATGGCAATCATCATGAACAAGGCAGTCTAGCTTAGCCCTACAAGCATAACGACATGACTCGCACGTGTCCACAAGGGTCCACTGGCTGTACCAAGAAAATTTGTACGCCATATTTGGAAAGGATGCGATCCGCATCACCAGTCGTGGTTGGATGCGTATACGGATAGACACGAGTGGCTTGGGTCCGAGATTACTTTGCGACACGAAAAACCTGGATTGAATTTGACGGCCTGGGTAAGCGAAAAAGCCTCGCATGAAAGTCTGGTCACCGGATGCTGGCATGTAGGCAGTACAAACCCATCAGCGAGTCAATACCAGCCCTAGTACGAGACTAGATCGACAACAGCCGTTCCCATGTGGAACCCTGATCCAAACGCCATTTTCTGGGTATCGAAGACTTCAGTTGTCGATTCAACAATCTCGGAACTCGCGTTTTGCATCTGTCGGGGTTATTCCGATAATGTTCTGTCGGTGTGTTTGGCAAGCTTGACCGCAGTGGATCAGCTAAAACCAAAGGTGGATAATACTGCTGCTGGCCGCCCTGTAATGGATGAATGAATGAATGGTTAAGGGTGGGAAAGGAATACCAATACATATGCACAGCTTCCTCCAACAGCACATCTACAATCTCCAGTCAGATTCCAGGATCAGGCTCTTTGAGCCTTGGCAATCAGGAAACATTGAGATTAAAGATGATGATGATGTGTATGGCAGAGGATGTGCCAGCCATGTCTCCCTCTTGTCATGAACAGAGAAACGACCCGTCAGATTCTGAACCTGTTGGCTCTACTAGTGTACTCCATACAAGCAGCTGATGTCTGAGCAAGTCTAAAATAGTTACCCCTTGTGTTTGATATATATTGGATACTCTCTGACCAAGGAAGTTTCGATGTATGGATCCCCATGCGTGTATTTGTTTGTTTCACACCAAGAGGAAACTCATCTAAGTAAGTATTTCGGCGCCCTCTCTAGACTAAGGCACCTCGAAGCAGTAGTCATGAAAGAATACAACCGGCCCCTCCCGTCATCCCTGTTCCTTGCATTGTTTAGCCGCTATAGTCGGGGTCTCGTTCTCTGTCCAATCACAAACGGTTCGACATACAACTGCCATTGCATGTCTTGGACTGTGCTGCGAGAGCCTTGCTCCCTCCGTCGGTCTCGCCTTCCAAAATGTTGAAGAGAATGGCAATGGGAGCGCATATAAGGGTACAATATTAGGTTAGCTCACCTTGGGCCCTTTGACTAGTGCCTGCCTTAATTACTGTATATTCTCAGGTCCCTGAGGCCTTGTGGACTCATGCCAACTTCTCAACGAGGGCTGACTGCCAATCGTTTAGCAAATTATGCCAGCGTGATTGGTCAATCGTCACGCCACCTAGTTCCACAGGCCTTGAGGATCTGAGGAGATGTTCCTTCCTGCCATACTACTACTAGTACAAGGTTGGCACGCATATCATTACCTAGACTTCCGCTCCCGTCTTCCATCGTTTCTTAATCAACATTTTGAGTTTGCGCCGTCTTTCTCTCCCCATATCTGCAGCACGATACTTTCAAGGGTTTGAATGGCAAGGACTGTGCCAGCCCCAATAGCTCACTCACTTACACTGCGGCTAGCAGCCTAGACGCCCTATCTTGTCCTGTCCTATCCCCAGAGGATATTTTGCCAAGATCAGCTTTATCAAACTCGCTGTGATGCCCGCTCGTCGTGGTCGTTCCAAACCGCCTCTGTTTGCTTCCTGCCGTTCTTTCTGGCGTCCCACTCCGACCTTGCTCTGAACCAAAGCTCGAGACCCTCCTTTCTTTAAGCAAATTCAACAAGGAGTGACCAACTAACATCACATGCAAGCACCCACAACCACGAAAGTACCGACCTGAGGAGGAGCTTAAGCCATTCTTCAATCAAGTCGCATTTTGCTGAGATCCTGCACGGCATCACTGCCAGCCTTGTTCATTAACCACCTACCTACACAGGTAATCTACTTTCAAAGCCCATCATTTTATGAGCCAATGGCCTTATCCCAGCTCCTCTGAAGCATACACAGTCAATAAGTCATCGGTCCTTCCTCTTCTTTCGCATACAGACAACTGTGCAACAAGACCTTGCTGGTACCTGCTTAAAACGGCAGGAACGCCCTGGCTTGTCGAGCGGGCTGGACCGTACCGACGGTATCGACATCCGACATCCGGCAGTCAATAAGCCGCTCCGTTACTACATCATCTGCCGTCCACTTTCGATATATTGTACAGCCTGAAACCAAAACAGTCTAGCCTCTATTCGCAGAATAAGGACCAACGGAATTCGACCATCACAGGGCCGAAACTCGTCACTGGCGTTCACAATACGTGCACTTTAACCTTCGACTGCTCTTCAACTTCCCATTGCAGCGAGCTTCCTTATCAAAGCACAAAAATCCAAACAAGTCATACGCATATATACCGGAGTGGCTTCCACTGTTGGCAGAGTAGCACGACAGCGGCTGGGCGTATGGCTGACGCCGAGTCTTCTGCTCTGGCCGTCAAACGACGAGCCCCGATTGCTTGTCGAAGGTGAACAATTGCGTCCATCCGTTAACCTCCCTCTTCTAATAGTTCATTATAGATGCCGACGAATGAGGAGTAAATGTGTCCATGATCGTGCGCAGCCCCCGTGCAAAGCCTGTGCTGAAGCCGGATATGGTGCTGATGAATGGTAACTGTACCTGCCCGTTCCTTCACAACTTAAGCTGACGTTCTTTCCACTAGCACGTTTCTTGAACGGGGCCAACCGGATCATGACCGTGATTTTCGTCACCCCCGTGTCCGGGCAGACAAGTCAGGCAGAAGAGACCCATCCAAAGCACGGCGTGATATGCTTGACGCTCCTGTAAAGCCTTTAAACAAACCGAACAGTGAATGGGAACGTCTACCTCCGATACCCGAAATTATCGACGGCATAAATCGATTCACTCGATACTACTTTCAACTTGGCTTTATCCCCAAAGAGCAATTTCCCAGACGCCTGAATCAAGATCATCAATCCGTCAGCGTCTTTCTTGTGGTCAGCATCCTCAGTATTTCGGCGCGTTTCAGCCCTCTTCTCATGACTCGCTATGGCTCTGGTATAAAAGCAGCTGAATTCTTTATGGAGCGCGCAGCGGCAATTGCACCCAGTGAGATCTTTGCTGCGAAGTACACGTTGGAAAGTTGTCAAGCATTTTACTTGCTCAGTATCGCACAACAAGGCAGTGGGCTCAGAAACGAAAGTCATGTATGTACTAGATACGAGATGTAGAATGTGTCCATTGCTGATCGACAGATGAATATGGGCATCGCTCTGCGGATGGCATCCGCGTTGCGTCTGCACTTGGAAGAAACATACGACATCTCAGATCCAACGGCCGAGACCAGGATTCGTGGAGAGTCTGCTCGTCGCACTCTGGTAAGTTATTCAGATCACAATAATAGCCAGTAATCCTGCTGAACAGTATTTCCAGTGGATGCTACATAGTCAGGACCAATTGCACTCAGGCCCTCACTCGCCCGTATCCCTTTCTGCGTCGGACATTACTGCTCTCCTCCCCTGTAATGAGAACGAATTTAATATAGGGAGGGAGCCCCCTTCACGAGCTGCTCTTGAGGGCTCTCCACCTGCTATCAGCAATCCAGCGCTTACATGTGATCCGAACCGGTCGCTCTTTGCATCACTCATTCAGGCGCATAGTTTATGGGGTATTATTACCCGGCGTGCTGTCAGCTTTACCCGGAGCTCTTATCCATGGGAGCCAGAAAGCAAATTTGCAACTGTCTCGAGAAAGCTTGATATCTGGGAAAATAGCCTACCTCGGGATCATCGATGGAACGAGTTCATATATAGCGAGCACAAAGCCAAAGGACAGGAACTGGTGAGTTTCTTCATGTATTGCAGGCCGAAATATTAACTTTTCAGGCATATCTCGGAGTGACCATGGTCCCGCGCCTTTGCAATATCGTTCTTCGACGCCCATACTTGGCAGAGTAAGACTGCACTCTGCCCTACTCGGACATAGCTAACTCTTGCAGCATCTTAACATTTTCTGCTGAATATAAACAGAGGCCGGATGTTTTCACCAAGATTGCGTACGAACTCTTCTCCAACGTCCGTAGCCTTTATGTACAAATCGACGCCCAATTCACAGGGCGTTCCTCGGAGGAAAGTGTTGGTGCCCAAATGGCGGCATTTTGTGTCTACACATGTGGTCTTCTTTCCGTATACCTTTGTTGTTATCCAAACAGTAAGCACATTTACCTTAGTACTGGCGCACTGAACACTAATCTCGACCAGTTTGCCCAGATCCCAACATTAGCCGCGACGGGCATATGATGTACCAGCGAACCCTAGCCATCTTGTCAGAATGCAAAGAAGTCTGGCCCCTTGCATCTCGTTGGTCAGATGCTCTGGAGCGCTTTGCTCAGGATCCTACAAGTTCTCTTACATCAGAAACCGGGATGGCGGACGGTAGAGATCCCGTTCCTCACCCGGTGATCGACCTTGCTGCTGCTACTCCCGCATCATCTGGCACATCACCAGCATCGTCCATATACAGCCGACAGGCAAGTTCTATAGAACAAGGACCCCCCACTCTACACTCTCCGTCTCCGCATGGCATTCCGGCTACTCTATCAGCGACTCATATTCTACCATCCCATTTTCCTACAACTCAAATCCAGCAACAACCTCAAATCCAACAACAGCCTCAAATGCATCAGATCCCGATTCACCAACATCACCAGCCACCAGCTCCAATGATGTCGCAACACCACGCATTTATTCCTCATCAACTTCAGCCACAACTGTATATGGGTTCTAACGAGATGGCCAACCTTGGCATGGTGATGGGAACATTCGACCAGAGCGCCGTGCAAGGCTATGCTATGTCACAACAATGCAATGCTCCATTGGCTTCCACTATCCCAACAGTCGCGGCTATTCCACCAGTCCCGCTCAGCGCTCCTGCGGATGGCTATGAGAATGAACTGAACTTTTATTCTTACGGATCTCACGATTGGGTACCATCGAGCAACGTTTTTGACGACTACGACTAGCATCCCTCTCTTAACACCGAATATCTTACTAAGAACATATCGCAAATCACTGCGGAACACAAGCCGACTCATGATTTAACGATATATCTGAGCGATATCTTGCTTTAGCGTATGCCATTTGTTCCTTTTTGTTTCATTTGGGGCAAGAGCGAGGGTTGATATAGAAGGTTATCAATTCAAGTATAGAAAATATTTTGCATTTGTCTCGTTACAAAGAGCAA